GATGAGCTCACACCCAATCAGGATGTCAGCAGGAGTCGGAGGGTGCCTGGGCTGGAGCTTATCTTAATGTGGGTAGTTTGGGTTTTGTTTTTTTTTTTAAGTTTTGTTTTTATTTTATGTGTTCGCCTGCACAAATGTATATGCACTGTGTACATGTAGTTGCCCACGGAGGCCAAAAAAGGATAATGGATCCCCTGCAACTGTTCCTATGGACAGTTATGAGCTGCCATGTATGTGCTTGGGACTGAACCTGGGTCCTCCATAGGCTCAGCAAATGCTGTTCTTAACCAGTGAGCCATCTCTCTGGCTCCCCGACCCCCCTTTTTAAAATCTGTTATACCTGTTTATTTAGTGTGTGTGGGTGTGTGTGTGTGTGAGAGAGAGAGAGAGAGAGAGAGAAGAGAAGAGAAGAGAAGAGAAGAGAGGGAGAGAGGGAGAAAGAGAGAAGAGAGGGAGGGAGAGAGAGGAAAGAGACAGAGATGTGTCACAGTGCTCAAAGATAGATTAGAGGACAATCTGTAGGAATCAGTCCTCTCCTTCCAACATGTGAGCCATAGGAACTGAGCTCAGATCATCAGGCTTGGCAGCAAGCACCTTAGCTGCCAAACCATCTCTCGGGCCCTGTTGTTTAATTTCTCTTTATTAGGTTTCTTACACACACACACACACACACACACACACACACACACACACACACACATCTGAGCTCATGTACTGTTTTTGTTGGTTTGTTTTTGTTGTTGTTGTTACTATGAGATCAGGTCATCTGAGAAGAGGAGCCACAACTGAGACAATGCCTCCATCAGACCCACCTGTAGGCAAGTCTGTGGGGGTGGTTTCTTGATTGATGATTGATGTGGGAGGCCCAGCCCACCGTGGGTGGGGACACCCCTGAGCAGGCAGTCCTCTGGGGTGTATAAGAAAGCAGACTGAGCAAACCTGGGAACAAGTCAGGAAGCAGCACTCCTCACAGCCTCTGCCTCCAGGCTCCTGCCCTCGGTGATGGACTGGATGGACTGCGATTGGACGCATGCAAACCAAATCAACCCTTTCCTCCCCAAGTTGCTTCTGTCATGGTCTCTATCACAGCAATAGAAAGTAACTGGGGCAGTGTGGGTGCTGGGAGCGGCAGAAGGGGGTGTTGGTGGCTTTCCCTGTGCTGGAGCTGCATGTGGTAGCAGTTAGTCACCCAGGGTGGGTGCTGGATGTCATCCCTCCAATCCTTTGTTTAATTTGTTTGTTTGTTTGTTTTGTTCTGGGACAGTGTTTCTCTGTGTAGCGCTAGTTATCCTAGAACTCACTCTGTAGACCAGGCTGGCCTCAAACTCAGAGATCCGCCTCTCAGCCTCCCAAGTTCTGGGGTTAAGGATGTGTGCCACCATTGCCTGGCTCCTTTATTTATTTTTTAAAAGATTTATTTATCTTATTATGTATACAGTATTCTCAGTATTCTGTCTGCATGTATGCCTGCAGGCTAGAAGAGGGCACCAGATCTCATTACAGATGGTTGTGAGCCACCATGTGGTTGCTGGGAATTGAACTCAGGACCTGTGGAAGAGCAGGCAATGCTCTTAACCACTGAGCCATCTCTCCAGCCCCTATTTTGTTTTTTGAAGACAGGACATTATGTAGCTTCAGCTGGCCTCACATCCCCTATATACTCAAGGATGGCCTCGAACCCCTGAACCTCGTGCCTCCATCACCTGAGTGCTGGGATCACAGGTGTGCACCATCACACACTGGTTTGTGTAGTGCTAAGGACTGAACACATACAGGGTCTTGTACATACTAGCAATCATTCATTCCACCAACCAAGCTATGTCCCCGGCCTTGAGGCCAAGGGGATGGACTTTCTCACTTGACTCCAGGGAAGGAGCTGTTCTTCAACACTACATTCAGGCTGGTTGGGAAGCTCTGAGGATCAGCTGACTTCAAGGCCACTTGGGTCTTGGTCCCCTATAGCAGACAAAATGGAAAGCAATGAGACCTCCCGATGTTCAGTGGGTAACTCTGGGAAGAGCCCGGGGCCCCAGGACAAAGAGGAGCGAAGTGTGAGTGCGTTTTTTTTCTTAGCTGAGTCGACCAAGTGTTGACTCCAAGATTGGACAAGGCAGCCCCCACTCTGAGCTTGTTGAAGGTAAGCTGACTGGGGTGGGCCTAAGGGCTTCAGAAGCTGAGTCAGCTAGAGTGGGGGATGCTGGGAACCAGGGAATCTTCCAAATCTGACAACTCTTCCTTGCCCTGGGCAATTATAAAGCCACAAATCACAAAGAAATGGTGGCGTCAGCACCTTGGGGACCCTAATGGAATCCCACGCTATAAAAATTCAATCAGCCTGCTGACCTGGTGTAAGCCTGGCCAAGGCAGTGAGGCTGGGATGGATAAGGACACTACAGGCAGGAGGACCCTCGGAGTCTGATAGACACCCCCCATCAATCCCCTATTTTCACACCTTCTGAAATAGGTCCTTTGGCCCCACGGGGATCAGCGTCCTCCTTGGGCACTGAATCTTTCAGAGGCTCCACTATAGTTGGGAGGGGTATGGGAGCTGGTTGGCTTGCTCTACCTTGTGTGTATGTGGCAGAGTAGGGTGGTCAGAGTCATATCTATAGGGCCCTTCCCAAAGCCCTCAACAGTGCAGGACAGTGACAGGACCTCTGGGGACCTCAAAGCGCATGGGAACTGAAGAGCAAGTGCGCTCTTAAGACTGGAGAGATGGCTCAGAGGTTAAGAGCACTGGCTGCTTTTCCAGTGGTCCTGAGTTCAATTCCTAGCAACCACATGGTGGTTAACAATCGGCTGTAATGAGGGTCCTTCTTCTGGCCTGCAGGTATGCTTGCAGTACAGAATACTGTATACATAAGAAATAAAAAAAATAAATCTTTTTTTTTTAATAGAGATGCTTTCTTGTCATTTTAGCACTAGCAGAGTGGAGGCAGAGGAACAAGAGGATCAGGAATTCAAAGTCATCTTTGGCTACTCAATGAGTTCTAGCCAACCTGAGCTCCATGAGATTCTATCAGATAGGTGGAAATAGGGGCAAGGACAGAGCTAGGCCACCCTGGACAGTCTCAAGAGACCCAGAACATAGACTCTTCAGAAGAAGTGGGAGAAGTGGCAGGAGTCATTACAGAGATGGCTCCTGTTTCTGGATGTGGGCTGCAGGTCAAATCTCAGCGGAAAGGAGTGGGTTCAGGGCTCTGAGGAGCTCGGCTATGTCTTGGAGGTCTTGACCAAGGCTGGGGTTTGTTTAGAAAAACGACCTCTAGACTGGTCTGGAAGGATTTAAACCAAAGAGCCTAAGCCTTAGGTGCTCTTGTGATCTTTTTTTTTTTTTAATGTGTATTTTTTGGGTTTTTTTTTATGTGTATAGGTGTTTTGTCTGCATGTATGTCTGGTCTGTGCACTACATGCATGCAGAGGCCAGAAGACAGCGTTGGATGCTCCAGAATTGGAGTTAGAAATGGTTGTGAGCTGCCCTGTGGGTGTTGGAAACCAAGCAACAAGCACCCCTAGCCACTGAGCCATCTTCCTCGCCCCACGAGGACAGTCCTCTGCACTGTGGCATGTTCACCAGCTCTCGTGGCCGTGGCATGTTCACCAGCTCTCATGGCTGTGGCATGTTCACCAGCTCTCGTGGCCGTGGCATGTTCACCAGTTCTCATGGCTGTGGCATGTTCACCAGCTCTTGTGGCCTCCTACCATTGGAAACCATGAGCACCATCCAGCTTTGATGTGAAAATGACTCCAGCAGGCATAGGGATTCAGGACTATACTCCCAGCAGGCAGGAGGCAGAGGCAGGTGGAGCACATGAGTTCAAGGTCAGCCTGAGCTACTCGATGCCCACCCAATCCTATCTCTAAAAGATTACACTAAATTTAAAAGGGAAAAGAGGTCAGGCAGTGGTGGCACACACCTTTAATCTCAGTACTCAGGAGGGACAAGCAGGCAGATCTCTGAGTTCGAGGTCAGCCTCGCAAGAAATCAAGTTCTAGAACAACCAGGGCCTACACAGAGAAATGCTGTCTGGGAAAAAAGAAAAAAGAAAAGAAAGAAAGCAAGCCAGATGTGCATACATCTTCAGTCCCAGCACTCGGGAAGCAGAGGCAGGTGGATCTCTGTGAGTTTGAGGCCAGCCTAGACTATATAGCAAGTTCCAGAACAGCTAAGACCACTTTGAGACCCTCTCAAGGTGGGGAATAAAAGCTGGAGAGATGGTTCAATTAGGTTAAGAAGTTCTTGTTGCCTGTTATTCTTGCAGAAGACCTGAAGTTTGGTTTCCAGCACCCATATCAGGCAGTTGACACCCCGGCTCCAGAGCAAGCTTCTGGCCTCTTCTGGCCTCCCCAGGCATTGCACGCATGTGATAAACAGACACACACATACATATTTAACAATTTAGAAAAGGGGAGGACAAGCAAGATGGATCAGTAGGCAAAGGAACTTGCTGAGGCATGGGATGACCTGAGTTTGATACTTGGGACCCATGAACCGACTCCTGCAAGTGTCCTCTGACCTCCACATGCATACATGGCATGCACACAATAAATGAATAAATAGATGAATAAATGTAACTTAATGAACTTTTGACCCAGGATTTCTCCTGGAACTCGCTTTGTAGACCAGGCTGGCCTCGAACTCACAGAGATCCGCCTGTCTCTGTCTCCCGAGTGCTGGGATTAAAGGCGTGCGCCACCACACCCAGTAATTTAATGTATTTTTAAATCCTCACACAAAAGGAAAGACGCTGGTGGTTCATGCCTGTAATTATAATGCAAGAGGATCAGTTCAAGTGTATCCTGGGGTACATGAGACTAATCCAAAAACAAAACAAAACAAAACCTCAACAACAATCCAAAACACAAAGTTAAAAAAGTGTGTCCAGGGAGCAGAGCCTCCTCTACCCCCGCGGAAAAAGCAGTTTGGATAATGGGGTGCAGATATGGAGCTTTGTGGGGAGGTACTGTGTATTGCCCACATAATAATGTTTTTCTTTTAGGGAGAGCCAATGGCAGGGTCCACTGTCTGCAAGATCACCATACTGTTCCTGGTCCTGCTATTCCCGGAGCTCCACGTGGCAGGCACCATTGCATCTGGATCCTCTCCCCGGAATCTGCCTGAAACCCAACCCCACCTCCCCAGCTCTACACTGTGGGTGCCTCAGCCCCATCATCATGGCCGACGGGGCCTGGGCAAGAAGGACAGGGGCCCAGGCATGCCCAGCCGGGGCCAGGAGGGGGCTGGGGTCACTGCTGCTAGGCAGGCTTCCCGGATAACGCTTGGACAGCGCCCTGCCGGCCTTCTGCAGGACAAGGAGCTGCTTCTGGGGCTGGCATTGCCCTATCCTGAGAAGGAGCCCCGGTCTTCTGGGTGGGAGAGGATGAAGAAACGTGGCAGAGAACACAAGAGACGCAGGGACCGGCTGCGCCAGCACCGAGGTAGCTGGAGGCCGGGGAGCCCTTTACTCCGGGAAGGCTCTAGGCTCTAATGCGGAGGACAGGAAGTGGTCAGAGAGTCAGAGTTTTAAGGCCCTGGAGAGACCATTCAAAACCCCCAAAGAGGCAGAAGTGGGCTCTCAGAAGAGGAGGTGCATCTTACTAAAGTCAGAGCAGTCTACTAGGGAGAAGAAGCAGGGAGAGGCCGAGGAGGGACAGAGGTGGAGAAGAGGGAGTTTGCCATAGAAGCTCTGCCTCCTTCGGCCGTCGGGAAAATCTACCTTGCATCTGACCTAAATCTACCCAACTCTAAGCCCTGCTAGCGTACAGACCGAAGAGCTGGGAACCCCCCTCCGGGCACCTCTTTTAATGAGCTCCAGAACGGAGTGGAAGCCGAGAGCTTGGACTCTGCACTCAGATCTGTTGAGAGCAGGGACTGACTCCACCACTCACTAGTTTGTAGCCTTGGGAAAGTCACCTTTGTGAGCCTCAGTTTGTCCCACAGCCCGACCTTAGTGCAGGAGGAGGTGACCTGCCGCTCAGAGAGCTTAGACTTGGGGGTCGCGACACCATCCCAAAGCAATCGCTGCTAAATCCTGGGCATCTCAGTCTGCACCCTCCAACCCTGCACACCAGTGACCCCATGTGGTGGCCAACTGTCTGTCACGATGACAAAGAGGAGAAAGTTGAGTTGGGATCAAGGATTCAGAACATTCTGTCTAAGTTGCTTGGACATGTTGTGAGGCAGAGCTCGGTAGAAGCAGCCTGGAGCTGCTCACCTCATGGTGCCCGGTGGCTGAGGGAAAAGAGGAGGAGGAGGAAGAGAGAGGAAGGGAGAGACAGCACAGGAATACCTGGGTCCCTGTATCCCTTCAAAGGCACCCCCAGTCACTCAAGTTCCTTCCACTAAGCCCCATCTCCCAGAGACCCCACTGCTTCCAAGTAGAGCGAGGGGCTGGAGAATCAAGTTTTTCTTTTTTAAGACTTATTTGTAATGTTTTTAGTTATGGGTATGTATGTGTGAATACGTGCATGTGAGCATGGTGCTTTCGGGGGCTAGAGGCATCAGGTCTCCTGGAGGTGGGATAAAAGGAGGTTGTGAGCCACCTGACATGGGCGCTGGGAATCGAACTCAGGTCCTTTGCCAGAGCAGCGCATGCTCTTAGCTTCTGAGTCATCTCTCGACCAAGCCCTAGGTCCTTGGGAACAGCAAAGATATATACTGCAGGGTCTTGAGAGAAATGTCACCCCTCCCATACCTGCCCATCTCCAACCAGTTGGTACCTCCCCTAAACCAGATGGCCCCTCCCACAACCATCTGGCCCCGCCCCCACCAGCAGCTGGTTCCTCCCCCATCAGCTGACCCCTCCTGCTCCAACCAGCTGACCTTTCTCCGGCCTCACCTGGCCCTGAGCCTACACTGGCGACCTGGCTACTAAGTCTTTTCGCGTGACAAGACTGCCTTAGGGACAGAGCAACTGCCGCTGGCTGGTTGGGTGTTTCTCCAGGAAGAAGGTGGAGCACCTGCCACTTCTTTCTGCAGATAGTGAGAGAGAAGGCACTGGCTTCCTGGCCAGGTTGACTGAGAATCCCCAGACGCCAAGGACAAATGTCATCATACTCCCTCCCATTCTCGGTGGTCCCCTGTGCCAATTTGGAAACTGCTGATGCCTGAGGACCAGCAGGAGAGCACAGTACACATGGGGTCCCCAATTTCCCTCTTTGGTCAAGAGGCAGGACTCTCCTAAGGGCAAAAACACGGTGGCAGGAAACAGATGAAGCCCACAGGTCGGGCCATTTCATCATCACTTGTGAAGCCTCAGGCTGACTGGGGTTCATTTCTGCGAGGTGGGGTGGACCCCACGGGATCCGTATCAACTTATACCTGTGCGTGGCAAGGACAAATGTAGATGACCAACCCCCCATCCTCCATCCTGGTCCCATTGTTTGTGACCCTGCTGCCTTCCGCTCTCACTCTCCCACCTGAGTGTCTTCAAAAGTGGCCCCAGAAATCAAAAGCATTGGCTTTGCACCCGGGACGGAGGTTCAAATCTATGCCCTGCCATACGAGAGCTGTGTGTCCTTAGTGAAGCCGCCTAACTTCTCTGGCTTGGGTTCCTCCCCTGTAGATGAGCAGCAACTGCTTCTCAGAGTTCCTGAGGCACTTAGATGAAGTGACTACTGTGAAGTGGCTTGTGTGTGTGTGTGTGTGTGTGTGTGTGTGCGTGCATGTGTGTGTGCGTGCATGTGTGTGTGCGTGCATGCGTGTGTGCATGTGTGTAAGCAGCTTTCTCAAAGTCTCTCCAAGCAGTGTCCCTCAGCCTCCATGAACCTCACCTCCTCCAGGAAGCCTTCTACGGTTTTATGTCCCTAGCTGCCCTCAGGCATCCTGGATCCAGACTTCTAGAATGCAGCTTCTCAAGGAGGAGAACCTTTCAACCAGTCCCTCTCCCCCAGTGACTGCTGTTTCTGGGTCTCTAGCAGGGTAGACAGCAGGGTGTTGGATAAACCAAGGGTCCACAGCAGAAAGGTCGGGCTGCCCTGTAGGTGGACACTGAGCAGCAGGCTGGTCACCCTGTGTTTGCCCTGTCTCAGGACGAGCTGCCATCCGCGGGCCCAGCTCCCTAATGAAGAAGGTGGAACCTTCTGAAGACCAGATGCTGGAGGCTGCCACAGAGGAGTCTTCTACCAGCCTGGCCCCAACCATGCTCTTCCTAACCACAGCAGATGTTGCCACGCCTACCCCAGAGGAGACCCGGATCCTGCCTGTCACCTCCCTGCGGCCCCAGGTAAGAGCACATGCCTCCTGTCAAGACTGAACAGATCTGTAGAATTAAGGTGCGCATCAAAAGGAACTTTCTTGGAGTGGCCTACAGGCTGTGGTCCGGCTGATCCAACAGCTGCTGTCTCCCCACGGAAAAGCAAAGAAAGAATCAGGTTTGGTCCACGAGGCCAGGTATCTCAGCTGGTCTTTTCTGTATCATAATCCTGAAGTAGGTTCTAATACCAGCAAATACCTCGGCAGCAGGACAGACGGACTTGCCACCAAAAGCGAGGACAAGTAGAAGCAAAAGCTTCCTTCTTCCACGTCCTTCCAGGCATGTGGGGGCAGGGGGGGCGGGGACCGGAAGGTGTGGCCCTGATTTAGGGCGTCTTCTCGCCTTGAATGACCCAATCAAGAAAAATCTCTCACAGGTGTGCCCAGCCGCTTGGGTTTTAATTGAGTCTCCTCCTGTTCTACTTAGGTAAACTGAGGCACAGCAGGAGGGTGGTAGTGGAAGCCAGTAAGCTTTTGCCCCACTGGGTATTCTGCCTCCAGAAAAGATGCCAAAAACCACAGCATATGGCCTTGGGGGCTTGGGCTGGGACAACCCGGAAGCCAGCGCCAGCTCAGCATACTGCTCTCTACACAAGTAGAGGGGGGACTCCTGGGAGGACCTTAAAGTCTGGAAGAGCTCCAAAAGCAGCCAGGAGATTTTAAAACCCGTGACTAGAGTGGCATAGGTCAGTGAGGTGGCTAACCCGTCTACTCCCCAGCTCTGAGAAAGTAAATGGGAAGGGAACAGGGACGCTCACACAGCTCTGACCACCGGTGACTCAAGAAGGGCACAGGAGTTCACCTGGCCGTTCTCGTTTATGATGGGGACAGGAGTTCACCTGGCCGTTCTCGTTTATGATGGGGACAGGAGTTCACCTGGCCATTCTCGTTTATGACGGGCACAGGAGTTCACCTGGCCGTTCTCGTTTATGATGGGGACAGGAGTTCACCTGGCCGTTCTCGTTTATGACGGGGACAGGAAGGGGACAGACAGCTCGAAAGTTGTGGCCATGGGCGGGGAGTTACAGTCTGTGCCTTGCTGAACCCTGGCCATCACGTACACGGGGGCCCAGCCACGATATCTGGTCCTCAGTAGTAGTTTCCAGGATATTGTTCAGCGTTGGTTGTGAGTGGGTCAGCGCTGTGAGTGGCCCTCTGTTGTGTGTGGGATTGAGGCCTGCACGTGGTCTTCACAGAACCTTGAGAGGACAGCAGAGAAATGAGCAATGGGTCCACCTCTAATTCCCTCCCCAGTGGGCTAAGACATTCTGAACAAGCAGGTTCCGCAGCCTCCCTCACCATTACCTTGACATCTTCACCTTGAAGACTCCAGGTCTCCTCCCCGCCTCGTCTTCTGCAGGCACAGCCCAGGTCTGATGGGGACGTGATGCCCACGCTGGACATGGCCTTATTTGACTGGACTGACTATGAGGATTTAAAGCCAGAGGTCTGGCCTTCTGCAAAGAGGAAAGGTAAGTCTGCTTTGCCCCCCCCCCCCCAGCCCCATGTTTGGACTCCTCTGTCCAGCACCTACTGAAGAGGATCCTTGCTGAGTCCAGGATGACCCGCAGGCGTCCAGAGGTGGGCTGGAAAGCATCAGTCTAAGCTGAACCTGACTAACTGTGGCAGTCTCCCACACTCTCTGCACACTAGACAGGTCCCACGCCTCTTACAGGGCGACGGGCTACAGGATCTGCTTCGGGGAAGAAAGTGAAGTTGAGAGAGGCAGAGGATCTTGTCCGGGCCACACTGTGGGAGTGGCCACTGACTCTGTGACACCCCCAAGTCTTGTGCTTAATATGACCTCCAGTTTCCTTGTCCCCAGAGAAACACTGGAGTCAGTATGCCAGTGATGGTAACGAGACGTCGCCAGCTGAGGGGGAACCGTGTGACCATCACCAGGATTGCCTACCAGGTACCTGGTACCCCTAAACCCACACCCCACACGTGAGGCGCCAGACTGGGAGGGAATGCCAGAAAGGCAGGTGAGACAGGGCTTCTAGCATGGGAGCAAGCCTGAGTGAGGGTCATGACCCTTTCTGCACAATAATTAGCAACTGCAGTAGCCACGAGTTTCCTGAGCCTCTCTGCCACAGAATGACGTTAGAGAGAGGTGGGGAGAGAAGGAGAGAAGTGAGGTGCGGTGGGGGCGGAGACTGACTGACTTCGTTTTCAGGCAAAGCAAAGCAATTATGCCCTACAGAGGCTAAGGGCCTTTTCCAAGATCACACAGCCTCAGCCATCTTGGTTCCTAAGCTTCTTACCCACAACCCACCCTGCCCTGAGTGAGAGGATCTGCTCCTGACCTTGTCTTCTCAATGCCCACATGGCTTAATTCAGTCCCGTCATCATGTTACCACCTCGCTCTCTGAGGATGGTTTCCATGACACCCTCTCCTGGTCAGCATCCTACTCATCACAGCGGAGGAACATGGGGGACCTGCTGTCTGACTAGAGTCTGAGCCGCTGGTCCTGTGGGGTCAGGTGACTCCCCAGAGCAGAAGCCGTGGTGGGGAAACATCTGTCACCGCAGCACTTGGGAAGCAAAGGCAGGAGGATCAGGAGTTCAAGATCATCCTGGGGTCCATAGGGAGATGCAGGCCAGACCCTGTCTTGGGGGATGCTTCTCTGGGGTGCTGATGGTGACACTTATTCCAGGCAAGAGAGGAAATAAGTTGGCAGAGAGTCCTCTGGCCTGATGTCATGCTGGCCTGAAGGGAGCTGTGGGGGAAAGCCTTGCTGTCAGGGAAGCCCCAATGCTGGGTGGCCCTGGTCATGGCTATGCTGTCCCTTGTCTGGAGCTGCTGGGGGAGGGGGTGGCTGGGACAGGGGCCAAGGTGAGTGAAGCCACACGCAGCAGGAGATCAGGGACTACTGGTGTCCCTTACTGCTACCAAATAATGAGTGCCCTGAGGGGTGGGGGCAGGGCAGACTCAAGTGGCCGTCCCCATGGCGCCACATGGGCAGGATATTCTGCAAAACACAGCCATTTTGGCATTGTTGAAGTGGGATACCAGCCCAGACAGGCTGTCTGTTCCTACACCACTGTCTGCACTCTGAGTGTGAAGAGAAGGCTGGAGTCAGGGCCAACAGGACAGTAATGGGCAGAGATGCCTCAGGCTTGCCTAAGCTATCCCTGCAGCCACCCACGGCTTTCGTTACCCCATCTGTCCAAGAGGACATTAGTGTCCGTGATCCCTGAGGTCCTTCCCCTCCCTCAGCCGGCTCTACCTCTGGCACCCCCATCCCTGGGAGGCGAACCCCACACCACCTTTGATCCTCCCATGATCGATCAAGTGGCCATCTGGGGAGGCCTGCGTCTCTGCCACCTGTCTCTGGGGATTTCATCTCTGAGATCCAGCAGTGACCCCAGCCCGGGCGAGGGGGGGGTGGCTTACACACCAGATGGCACACCAGGGCATGGACTGCCACACATATGATAGATCTCCTGTCCAGTGGGACTTAGTGCGGGGCGGCGGGGAGGAGCCGCTTAGCTTGGCTGACCACATGTGCTTGCTGTGTTGCCAGGAACTTGCTGCGACCTCCGGGAACATCTCTGCACGCCCCACAACCGCGGCCTCAACAACAAATGCTTTGATGACTGCATGTGCACGGAAGGTCAGTCCGGGCTCCGGGAGTGGCCAGCCCCCTCCCCACCGTGCTCCCAGAACCATGAAACCTTTGTTGTCCAGCCAGCTCTGCAATGAGTGGGGCATGAGGTTTCCTGGCAGAGGGTGGTTGTGAAGGAAAGGTTTGGGGAGAGGGAGTGAGTAGGAGAACCCCCTGGGAGCTGAAGGCACCGGTAGGAACAGCTTTGCCGGGGTCTTCCAATCTGTCTGCTCAACGCGTCTCCATTCCTGGCATCGTTTCTCAGATTTGTGTTCTTGCCTCTTGAAACACAAGCTGGTATGATCGCTCAGGATCAGGAGGGGGAGAAGGGAGGAGACAGGAACGTATCCCTTTTAAATAAGAGCCAACCTGAGAAGGCTGGCAGGCTCTCAGCAGAATTCTGGATGGGAGACTTTCCAAGTGAGATGGTGGGGAACAGGGAATCGAGTGGGATTCCCAGCAGCCACAGGAAACGGTGTTTAACTTCTCTGAGCACCCACCCAATGGAAGGGTGTGTCCCATGCACACCTGTGCCCATTGGTGCCTGTCCTGTGCCGTGTCCACAGTCACCCCTGGAAGGAAGGTTTTATGATTCCCATTTCAGAAGTGAGGTGAGGTGACTTACTTAAACACATTTATGGAAGAGTGGGGTACAGAAGAACACCCTGGTAGTAGCATGTTTGTCTCTATGAGAACAGCAACAGCAAAAAGTCCTGAGGCAGAACTGTGCTGAGTTGTGTAGGCAGGCCTCAAACACGTGATTTTCCTGCCTCAGCCTCTCAAGCAGCTGGAGTTAAAGGTCTGCAGCATCATTGCTGGATCTCCCCTTACTTCCCTTGCTTCTTTGTTTGTTTGTTTTGTTTTGTTTTTTGGTGGGGGCGTATTTTATTTTATCATAGGAAAAAGGAAAGGAGTGAGAGAGGAGGGTAGAGGAAAGGAGGGGAGGGGAGAGGAGGGGAAAGGAGAGGAGAGGAGAAGAGGGGAAGGAAGAGGAGGGGAGGGGAGAGAAAGGGAGAGGAGGGGAGGGGAGAGAAAGGAAGAGGAGAGGAGGGGAGAAGAGAGGAAGGGAGAGGAGGGGAGAGGAGAGGAAAGGATGGAAAGGGAGAGGAGAAGAGAGGAGGGGAGGGAAGGGGAGGAGAAGGGAGAGGGAAAGGAAAGGAAATGAAAAAAAAAAAGAGAAAAGTTGCCTGTGGTGGTATATGCTTGTAATCCCAGCACTTGAGAGGCTGAGGCAGGGCTATCGTGAGTTTGAGGCCAACTGAGGGGGGTGCACAGTGACACCTTGCTTGGAAAACAACAAACCAGGGCTAGCAATTGGCTCAGGGTATAAAGGGTCTTTGTCCGCAAGCCTGATGACCCGTGTTCGGTAACTGGAACCCTCGTAAATGTGGCAGGAGAGAACCAGTCAAAGCTGCACTCAGGAGGCAGAGGTAGGTGGATCTCTGTGAGTTCAAGGTCTGCCTGCTCTATACTGTTAGACCCAGTCTCTAAATAAATACATACATAAATTGCTGAAGGGATAGCTCAGTGGTAGAGTGCTTGTCAGGCCTTGAGTTCATCCCCCTACCCAAATGAAAGACAGGGCCAGGGAAGGGCTGGAGAGGTTGCTCAGTGGTGAAGAGCACTGGCTGCTCTTGCAGAGGACCCAGATAGCAGCTCAGGACCATCCATTACTCCAGTTCCAGGGATCCAATGCCATCTTCTGACCTTCACAGGCACCAAACATGTACATGGTACACATACATCCAAGCAGACAAAACTTCAGACTCAAAATAAATCTTACGGAAAAAAAGTTTAAATGAGAACTATGAAGAAACAGGTGGAAAATAATTCGACTTCTGTCTTCAGAGTCTTCAAACCCACACTGCTGAAGTTGTAGTCTCGGGAGCCCCTGGTTCCCATCACTGAACTTCAGTAAAGACCAACTGTGGCCATCCTGGGTGGGGCTCTCACCTCCACACACTTCCCTTATGTCAATATGACCTTTATGTATTTATACAGTATTTATTTTGGCGCACACCTCTGAGAGATAAGCACCCTTTCAAAACAAGGTCCCTAAATTGCCGAGCCAAGTGATATTCAACCTTCATTCCGGCGGCCTCTGAGGGCAGATTCTTCCCCTAGCTGCTGTGTGAACCCAAGCCACCCACAGGGTCTAGTTCACAGTAATAAAAGAGCCTGCATCTTCTCCACTCCTGGGTTACAGAAACAAACCCATAGATAAGCCCTCTCTGGAGCCAGGTATGGTGGCCTGTGCCTGTGATCTCAGCGCTCCAGAGGTAGAGATAGGAGACTCAGGGGTTCAAGGTCATCTTCAGCCACATAGGGAGTTCCATCCAGGGCATCCTGGGCTACAGAAGCTCTTGTATCCATCACCCACACACCCCCACAAGAGGAAAAGGGGAAAGAAAAAGTCCCTGGAGAGTCATAAGGGTTGTGAAAAAGAAAGCCCGAAAGATTGGAAGGTATTTCCACAGGATGTTATATAGAGTTCTTAGGAAAAGGGCAAAAAAAAAAACCCGGTGATGAGGGTTGGAAGAGAGCCTGAGGTGTTCCGATAGAAGGCGGATGGTAAAGGCAGGGACCTTTGGCAGGAACTGCCTGGCTTGGCTTGGCTTGGCATATAGTGAGGCCTGGAAAAGGTTAAGAAGGAAATGAGAAGCCGGGCGGTGGTGGCGCACGCCTTTAATCCCAGCACTCGGGAGGCAGAGGCAGGCGGATCTCTGTGAGTTCGAGACCAGCTTGGTCTACAGAGCTAGTTCCAGGACAGGCTCCAAAGCCACAGAAAAACCCTGTCTCGAAAAAAAAAAAAAAAAAGGAAATGAGAGAAGCTTCAAGAAGAACTGCATTGACTTTGTTGCTCTCATTTGGATTTTTTTTTTTTTTTTTTTTGGTGTTTCTAGACAAGGTTTCTCTGTAGCTTTAGAGCCTGTCCTGGAACTCTGTAGACCAGGCTGGCCTCGGACTCACAGAGATCTGCCTGCCTCTGCCTCCCGAGTGCTGGGATTAAAGGCGTGCGCCACCACCGCTCGCCGTGCCTCTGCCTCTTAAATGCTAGGAGTAAAAGGTGGGCTACCATGCTCAACCTGTTTTTTTTTCCTAAATAGGAGATGAGGTCATATGTAGTTCAGTGATAGAATGTGTGCTTAATATGCAAAGCCCCAGATTCAACATTTAGGTTTTGCTGGATTTTTGTTTTGTTTTGTTTTTGTTTTTGTTTTGAGTCTGCTATGTAGCCACACCAGCCTTAGATTAAGCCCAAACCTGCTGTCTCATTCTCAGGCCTGTGCAGTCAGCCCAGTTTCTTAAAACTTTTCAAGACATTGCGATGACTCGGTGGTATGGAGGGGCTGTAAAATGAGAAGCCTGTGTGGGCTGAAGGGGAAGAAAAGGGGGGGGGGACAGTCACCACAGGCATGACATCCTTGCCTCCTTCCACTCAGGGCTGCGATGCTATGCCAAATTCCACCGGAACCGCAGGGTCACTCGGAGGAAGGGGCGCTGCGTGGAACCTGAGACAGTCAACGGGGACCAGGGATCCTTCATCAACATCTAGCGCCCTAGCAGTGCCTCCCCACAGGCCGGGGTTCTGAGCTAGGGAAGTTTGGACAAATAAGACCGCGTCAGTAACTAGCTCAGCTTGGGGCTGCGTGGGGGACTCAATGACTGAGGCCGCGGGTGCAGCCCCGGTTCACTCATCCCCAAGCTGGGTGAGGGCTTGGTTGAGAGCAGCTGTGTCTGCCATCCCAGGTGGTACCCACGCAGCTCACGGAGCCCGCTCTACGTGATAGTCGTGTCGAGCGCGCCCTCTTCTGCTTGACATCAGCATTACAGCAGCTTCAATTTGGAAAATTAAGAGGTTTCCCAGCCTGGAAAGGATTGGAAAGAGAGGACCCCTGACAGGAGTGGCTCTGGAATACTCTGTCCCAGGCAAACGCCAAGCACCACCTTCATTTTTACTGAATTTCCACAGAGACCGTGGCAAGAGACCGCTGAAGCACTCTTGAGTTGCGAAACCTGTGCACCCATGATCCTCCATCTCTGGCAGCAGACACAACTTGACTGTCTTCAGCCTTTCTCAACAGAGGCTTATCGTCTTTTTGAGAGACATAGTCTCACTCTTTGGCCAACCTGGCCTTTGGAAACTCAGACAGTCCCCCTGCCTCTGTCTTCCAAATGCTGGGATTACCAGGAGTGAGTCAGCATATTTGGCAGGTGTATCCTCCTTAAAATCAAAGCATGGGGCAGGGTGGGGTGTGGCTAACCCTAGTTTCCATCCCCAAGCGTGGTGTCAAAGGCAGACGGTGCTGGAGGATCAGAAGTTAAAGGTCATCTTCTGCTACTTAGCAAGTGTGAGATCAGACTCCGGGAGACTGTGTCTCAAGCAAAACAAAATAAGCCATTAGCCTAGACTGCACAGGGCCCTGGGTTTGACCTCCACTAGTTCTCCTCCATTCCGACTTCTTTCCCCCAGGCCCCTACACACGGGGGATGCGTTCAGGTGAAGAAGGGTCCCTGTGAAAGGTCCTTCCCTCTGACAAGTGCTAGCCACAGTCATGAAGTGGCTGGGGTTAACTTTCCTGGTGTGGCCTGGGTCATGGGGTCACTCCCTCCTAAGTTGTCCTCAGAGTTCCCCACCCCTGCTGGAATGGCAAGCACATGCCACCCTGAGTTCACTTGACACGATGTTTGGTGACTCCCAACTTCCCTAAGACCATCTCTGGACTCCATCCCTTCGCTTCAGCAACAATGCCCCTCGGAAAGTGGGGTCATCTCCAAGACTGTGCATGCAGCCTTCATGCTCACAGGCTAGAACCATGATGACAGCCTCACCATTATTGTCACCGCCCGGAATGTGTGTCCCAGCAGATCTGGAGCCACCTGAGGAGCCACCTAGGGAGAACCCTTTAGACCTTTGCTCCTGGCATCTCCCTCCTGGTCAACCTTTGCAAAGGAAAAAAAAAAAAAAAAAAAGCCTTCCCTGCCCCCGCCCTCCCCAGCCTGGACCACCATCCATGGGATGTTTACGGCTTTGGGGTAACCAGTCTGGTCCAGGGATCAGGCACCAAGGAAAACAAGCAGATCTAGAAGAAATCAAATACGCTTGTTCTTCTTTCTCAAGTTGGGTCTGATAGGCCTGGGAATGGGGGTCAGGGCCAATAGCCGGAAGGATCAAAGCGGCAATGGGAAAGCAGGTTCTAAGGCAGATTCATTTTCCTTTCTGTAATACCAGGGCCTTGCATGTTCCAGGCAAGTGCCCTGCTGCTGAGCTACATGCTAACTGGTCTGGGCTTCAAAGTCTCCAAAGGGGGCTGCCATGGCAGCCTGAGAACATTGGTCCCTGCCCTCCTACCTGCTGCAGCATACTGCTATCCACAGCCTGCACCTCCTCTCACACTTTGCTGACCTTACGGAAGTTGCTCACGGTCTGTGTGCCTTGCCTTTTCAAAGAAATGAAAATGCCTGATTCTTAAAACAGTGCCTGGCCCATAACACACACACACACACACACACACACACACACACACACACACACCATCTAGAGTACCAGCTAGCCATCTTCAGCAGGCCTTCATTTTCACAGTGATCCTTTTTATTTATTTATTTATTTTTTTTAGTGGTGTCTCACTATTCATCTCTGGCTGACCTGAAACTCACAATGTAGACCAGGTTAGCCTGGAACTCACAGAGACCTGCCTCCTCTGCCTTCCAAGTGCTGGGATTAAAGGTCGCACCACCATGCGCGGTTCAGGATGCTTTCTATGATTGCTCCAAAGTGCACTTCACAATGAGTGTAGTGGCGCACGCCTTTAATCCCAGCATTTGGGAGGCAGAGGCAGGCAAATCTCTGTGAGTTCGAGGTCAGCCTGGTCTACAAAGAGAGTTCCTGGACAGCCAGGGCTACATAAAGAGACCCTGCCTCAAACAAATATACAAACAAAAAACAAAGTGGACTTCCCCAAACTGAGTCACGGCTCTGGAGAAGCATATAGATTCCCACGCCGAGGGGAGGAGCATGTGCCTACACAGCGTCAAGTTTATGAGAAAAAAAGTGGACCCTGGTGGGGAGCCGAGCAGGGGTTTGCTTAGAACTGCCCAGACAGACGCCTGAGCTGAAACCTCAAGGACACTCTGGCAGAACCCCACTGTCCCCAGACACGGACTGTTTTCTGGGCTTTGGCGATAGGAAGGGTGGTTTCCATGGCTCGTGGAAGGGGACTGAGGGGGTCTATGACTAGAGATACAAATGTCATAGGAAAATGACGTCATTTGCTCCTGGAGGAGGTCAGATTCCAAGGCCTCTCCTGCTGAGGTGTGGCAGAGTTCCTCCCGAAGCCTCCTTCAGCCTTCCCCAGAGCATCCTCAATGAGGAGAATGTTTAGAAAGTAAGGAACCAAGAGCCCTGGGGTGCCAGGAAAGTGGGGTCGGGAGAAGTCAGCAGCTGAGGCTGCCCTTTGAGGGTTCCTGGGGCGGGACTACATTAACACTGGCCCTTCATGCTTACAGACCATAGCGAGTGTGTGCTAACAGGCCATAGATACTGTGTGCACACAGAAAAGGAGTGGTCAAAGTGAGCAGGCTGCACGCAGAACAAGGGGTTTGCACTGCGGGGGGTGGGGTTTCCAAGGCCCCCAGGAAGGGCAGGTGGTTTGGGACAGATCTGTGACCGAGCTACCCCTGGTTGCAAAGTTCCAGCATCACCTGGGAGTCTGGTAGAAGCACAGATTCTTGGGCCCCACTCCACACCTACTGAGCTGCAATCACAGGAGTGGTCCCCAGCATCTGGCTTCTAACACGTTCTCCAGGGCATTCTTGGGTGTGGTGGGTGTGAGGACCACAGATGGAAGACAGATGCCAGCGGTGGGGACATTAGGACAATTCAGTACTCTTGTGTTCACTATGGCTTGGCCACTCTGAGGTCTGTTTCTTGGCAATTGACCAGCGAGGACAAACTCCGCGATCCAAGGCCTACCTCCTTGACTGCCATTGGCTCTGCTTAGAAGACACCAGGTAGGGCTCCTAGGCCCGGAGTCTCCATCACTGGACACGTGTGCTCTTGGGAAATGCCTTGGAGGGTTATAGCTCCTCCCTGAAATGTGGGAACGGCAAGGGAGGGGTACTATGGTCTGTGATGCCATATTGCATGTATTCTCTGAGCTGTAAATAAAGAGGTGACAATTGCTAAGCCACTTCTTGACTCTGTTCTTCTAGGAAATGGTCAGTCTGACTGGCAGGGATCATCGTCAGAGCCTTGGAAGGGAACCCCAAGTCTTGTATTTCTCTTGTCATTTCCTATTTACTTGATTTGATTGAGGTCTGGTCTGAGCAAGCAAGGCAAATGTAGTTCCTCTCTCACCTGGATATCGAGGTCTACAGGATTGGAGCAGCTTCTGGGGTACCCAAGGGGGTTGGGGTGCTGTTCACCGCAGACTGATCAGCAACAGCTGCAGCAGCGTCCCGCTTCAGTGTGGTTCAGGACAAAACACTGTCAGTCCTGACAGGGCCTAGGAAGGCTCAGATGCCATCTTGGGAAAGTTTGTGAACTGCTTGCGGTGGCCTGGTTTGGCAGCTGAGAGAACATCTAATCTGGTTACCATTCCTGCCAGCACCACCCCAGCCTGCTCACTGGGTCCTCTCAGGTCTGGATAACCAGAGCAGTTCTAGTTCTGGTGGCAATGGCTTTAGTATCCCAAAGTCAATGCTGAGCCCAGACTTTTCTTTCCCACCAGTCAGTTCCCAAACAACCACATAGAGACTTAATATTAATTATAAATGCTCCACTGATGGCTTAGGCTTATTTCTAGCTAGCTCTTACAATTTAAATTACCCCATTTCTACTCATCTGTATGCTGCCCCAAAGTTCATTTACCTCAGCTACATAGTTCCCATCCTGCTTGCTCGGCTTCTCATGGTCTCCTCTGACTCCGCCCTTCTCCCTAGCATTCTCGTGCCCTAGAGAATCCTGCCTAGACATCGGTCAGCTTTATATTAACAATGAGAACAGCACGTCTTCACAGCGTACAGAAGGATTATTCCAGAGCACCCAGGCACTTTTGGAGCCTGGTGTCCTGGCAAGACTACCCTGCCCAGCTGTGCGGAGTGGCCAGAGACCAGCTTTCCCAAACCTAGGGTTTCCTAAATCATGAGCCCTGACCAGCCAGCTCCAGCATCCTCCAAGATACCTTGGGCTTCTGAACCCACACGGCCTCTGGCTCAGTGTATCGAGGGCTCTTGGAACTTGGCCTGCTTGATCTTAGCTGCACCAAACCTCTCTTACTGTGTCCCTGCCCAGTAAGCCGAGATATTCCTGCTGAGGGTGGTTCTAGGGACCAAACCCAGGATATCCCTTTCCTACAGACATCAAAGATCATGTTATCTCTGTCTCAACTCTTCAGTTCTGCCATTAGTTGGTATGGAAGCAGATGCTGTGTGCTAATAAAATTTTATTGACATAAAAGATCCATGGGGTAGATTTGGTCTGTAGGCTGGAGTTTACTTGTCTGTCGCTGACCTCTAGTCACTGGCTGTGGAAAGGCCTCTGGTCCTGACATGCTGGCTTGAATCTGTTTTTAGATGTCAGTGACTCTGAGATAAAGGACCAAGGCCAGGTGGCTGGAGAGATGGCACAGCAGTTGGGAGGTCCTGGGTTCAGCTCCTGGCCATCTATGGTGGGGTCTGGTGCCCTCTTCTGGCATGCGGGTGCTTGCGGGCAAAGCACTGTGTGCATAATAAATAAATTAAAAAAAGAACCAAGGCCAGACAAATCCCAGCTCCCGGGGTTTCAGCAGCCTGGGTCCAGGCCTCAGAGGTCAGGTGGCTTTACTGAGGCAGATCCGTTGGTTTGCTAAGGAAACAGAACCCAAACTAGGCCTCAATGCTTGCAAGTCCCGACACTTGGGTGTTGGAGGCAGGAGGATCAGCAGTTCAAAGTCATCTTCCGGTATGTGATGAGTTTGAGATTAACCTGTACTACTTGAGACCCTGTCTCAATCCAAAAAAATCCAACAAGTATTTATAGTCATATGCCTATGCCCTTAAATACCTATGTGTTTATATATCATACATATTTGTATCTGTGTCTACATATCAACACACACTGCTTTACTTTATTTTAAGCACTTGGCTGTCTAGACTGTGGACTGGCAAGTCCACAATCTGTAGAACAGGCTGGCAGGCCAGAAACTGAGGCAGAAGCTAATGTTGCCTGAGGCCAGATTTCTTCTCCAAGGCCTTCATTTCCGGTCTTAAAGCTTTCAGCTCAAGAAAACTGCCCGTCGCAGAGGCTCTAGAGCTTCGCTCCCCAGCCTATCACAACATCTGGACATGTGGCTAAGTTTCTCTGACAGGCAGTGTGGGTCTGGGCTTCCTTGCTGTCAGTCATCCCAAGCTTTGGGTGGCGGCGGTGGCAGCGGCTGTTAGCTGTGTGGGCTCCCGTGCCTCAGTGGCCGGAGCCAGGTGTCCCATCCGGGGCTGGGAGGGGCTGAGGCAGAGTGAGTGGATAGGAAATGACTAAACACTGTGCTCCTTTCCGTCTTTATCGTCCCCTCAGCCCTGCATCCCGCATGGCATATCCTCCCAGGTGCACACAGGGGACCAGAAGCAGGATGCCTTGTGCATAATGTGGTCCTGAGTTGTCTTTCTGCGTCCTCAGCCACGGCCTTGAAGCAAGGCCTGGTACAGAGAGGAGCTGCATTCTTGAAAACCCAGCCGCGGTTCCTGTTCACGGGAGGAAGCCCCCACCCTCCATGTGCTCAGAGCTTCTTTATAGAGAAGAGAAACTGAGGCACAGAGAAACAAAAATCTCTTCGCCAGAGTGGGGCTAAGTTAGTAGGTGGTGGAACTGGAGGCTTTACTGGAATCTGACTCTAAAACCACATACTGCGGCTGTGAGTCCTTGGCCCTCTCAAAGGGCTCCAGTTCACTGAGAGCCTAATTAGAAGCAAAGCACGGAATGTACCCAGCCCTCCCTAGTAACCTGGAGTTCCCCCTTGCCCCTCTGGCTTCACCACGAGGCTTCCTCCTGGGAGGTGCTCCCTTCCTCATTCCTCTCTTATCTCAGGCTCCAGAGTCTTACCACACTGTGCGGGGAAGGTGAACCTCCTAGAGACTGTGGGATCAGATACAGGGAAAACAAACACCAGAGAAACTGGCGACTGATGGGCATCTTGGGGTGGCAGGACCAGGGCCACAGCTACCCTGGTGTGTCTGCAGACAGAGCCCTCAGATGCTCCCAGAGTGGAAATTCCAACGCCATCCGTCCAGGAAGATGGGAGGCTAGACAGAGGAAAGCCTGGGGCCTGAGTTCCTGAAACTCCATAGAAACTTTACTGGCTATGGGAGTTGAAGGAGCAACAGGCCTTCAGGGAGGGCTTGGTATGGGGCCGGTAATGCAACCAGACAAGATGCTCAGGGTAAAACAGGGAGAACAAAACGTCTAAGCACACACATATACTCATGTAGACAACATTCACATTCACATGTACACACACTTATGTACACACACCCATCCACACATACATGCGTGCACACAGGAGCATGGGCACCTTAAGAAAGGGAACACTGCAGAACAGAGAACAAGAGAGTAGGCCTCCGTCCTCCAGGGCTATAGCCTCTGCATCTGCTTTTCCTTCCGCCAGTTTCCTGGAACACAGAAATGCAGAAGCAATTTCCCCATCTGCCTTTTCCACCGGGTCTTTGGGTGGGTCCCTCACTCTCTGACTTGAATGCTCCAGTCCCTGGAGGGACCTGATGGCACCCCACCACTGTAAGCCCCACTCCTTGGCATTATGGAACTGCTTTTGCTCAGCTGCACTGACTCTGCACTGGGCCCCACAAGGTAACTAGCAGTGAGTTGACTGCCTGGCCTCCCCACCCCTGTGGGACATGCCTCCTTGCTATGCTTTGCCTGCTCCCTCTGCATGAAGGCACACAAATCACTCCAGGATATCCTATCTATCTCTTCCCCTTCGTGGAACAATGACAGGAATAACCTGGGCATCTCTTCGGCAGCTTTTATTTTTTAGATTATTTTCTTTTATGCGTATGAGTGTTTTGCCTACATGCATGTACATACACTTCAGGCATTCCTGGTGCCCAGGAAGGTCAAGAAAGGAGCCCCTGGAACTAGAGCACCAAACCCAGGTCCTCTGCAAGATGAGAAAGTGCCCTTAACCACGAAACCATCTCTCCAGCCCCTCACTATCACCTTTTTATACTGTCCTATTCCAGACTCTCCAAGAGGCACCTAAAATGTCTCTTTTGGGGGACCTGATGCACCCTCTTCTGACTTCTTTGAGCACTGCACACCCATGGTACAGGGAGATACTAGCAGGAAAAATACTCTAACACCTAAAACAAAAATAAAATCTTTTTTTTAATATTTATTTATTTATTTATTATGTATACAATGTTCTGTCTGTGTGTCTGCCTGCAGGCCAAAAGGGGGCACCAGATCTCATTTCGGATGGTTGTGAGCCACCATGTGGTTGCTGGGAATTGAACTCAGGACCTTTGGAAGAGCAGGCAATGCTCTTAACCACTGAGCCACCTCTCCAGCCCCCAAGAATAAAATCTTAACAACAAAGGGCAGCTCTGCCTAACCATCCAGGCTCTCTCCAGTCCTGTCAGACCCGAGGCCAAGAAACCCAGAGCCAGTGTGTCTATGAAGACCAGCACCATAGGGAAGGACGCTGAATCCAAATGGCAAACCATCCCACCCTGCTGTGCTGCTGAGGGGCAGGACTCGGCCCTCTAGTTTCGTCCCAGAAAGGCTTCTTGTTGGTCCTCACTTCCTGACAGGCATGCGTGCCCGCAGCTGGAGTCTGGGTTCATATTCTCTGCTGTTTCTCCCAGCTTGGCTTGTCCACTTGGGGAAGGAAGTGGCTGGGGCTTGCATCAGAGCTAGTGCCCCTTACCTCATGGAGCACAGGACAGCTGGGGTCATTCTAACGCCCTTTGCCATTTGGAGCCTCTGTAAGCCCCACATGCCTTAGATCCAGGGAGAGGGTGAGATAAGAGGGGTGGGGAGTAATAAAAATTGGGAGATGAGGGGGCTGGAGAGATGGCTCAGTGGTTAAGAGCATCGCCTGCTCTTCCAAAGGTCCTGAGTTCAATTCCCAGCAACCACATGGTGGCTCACAACCATCTGTAATGAGGTCTGGTGCCCTCTTCTGGCCTGGAGACA